CTGAAGAGTCAATGATTCGATGCAATCAGCTGGTTTTCCTTAGATTGAGAGCTTTGAATCGGTTTGACTGGATGATCTGGTTGAATTTTATCTGTAAATTGGTGTTAAGGAAAGAAACTGAATAGAGTTGAATTAAAGGTTGAACCTGGATTCTCTGAGGACTTTAGGTTTTATTTCAGCAGCCTGAAGCGTTTCCTGTATGCTGGTCTTTCTCTGCGCTGTCCTCAACCAACATTCACTCCTGTTCTGATCGGGGCGACCCAGAGATCCCGCTAACATCACTCCGCCTGCTGTAGGGTAGACCTCCCATTCAGAGTCCATGTCAGTCCTCCTGACGTTGCATGTCGCTCTCTCTCTGCAGGATTATTGCAGTCAGCACTATGACTGATGGGGATTATGACTACCTGATAAAGCTCCTGGCCCTGGGGGACTCCGGCGTGGGGAAGACAACCTTCCTGTACCGCTACACGGACAACAAGTTCAACCCCAAGTTCATCACCACAGTTGGCATCGACTTCAGGGAAAAGAGAGTGGTACGTCTGCATAGATTTCTAACCTCAGATGAACATTTTACTAAATAAAACAATCAAACCTCCATCAGAGGCAGCGGTACTTCACACGCAGCTATGCAGAGAGAGGGCTGCTGCAGATGGGCTAACGTTAGCCCATCTGCAGCGGCCGGGGCTAACGTTAGCCCATCTGCAGCGGCAGGGGCTAACGTTAGCCTATCTGCAGTAGCCAGGGCTAACGTTAGCCCGTTTACAGCAGCCAGGGCTAACGTTAGCCCTGGCTGCTGCAGATAGGCTAACGTTAGCCCCGGCCGCTGCAGAAGGGCTAACGTTAGCCCCTGCCGCTGCAGATGGGCTAACGTTAGCCCCGGCCGCTGCAGATGGGCTAACGTTAGCCCCGGCCGCTGCAGATGGGCTAACGTAAGCCCTACCGCTGCAGACAGGCTCTGTGAGCGCTAACCTGGAAGCTGCTGCTGCCGCAGTGCATGCTGGGACAGCTGTCAGTCTGGAGAACAGACAAGTCTGCTCTGATGCATGCTGGGTAAAGAGGGAGGGGCCAGAACAACATCCGGGGACTTTGTCTGTTCTCGCTCTGCTGTTCTAGTGAACTGGAACAGTGCTAGGGCTGAGGATGATGACGTTTCACGAGGACACGAGGACGCACAAGTACACATAGTGAGAAACGGCCAGAGACTCATATATATTTTTCAATCCAGTCCAATTGACTCCAGTTAAATCCAGTCACCGTAGATCAAAATTGGATTTATTTCAGTTGAATTCAGTAATAATCGGTCTCAGGATTACTTTAAAGCAGTTTTTTCTCCTAACGGAACGAATCCGGTCCGGCAGACGGAATCCTGGTTTTAGTCTGATGGTGGATTAAACCGTCTGACGGGTGGCGTCCTGCGGAGCTCCTGCAGACGTGAAGCTGATCCGTCCTGACGGGTTGACAGTCGGTCTTAGCGAGATGCTTTCAGGCTTCAGAGGTGGCTGAAGACTCACAGGATGATTTTAAACAGGCGTGTTTCCTGCTGGAGGCGCCTTGAATGACTGCTTTCTCTGCAGGCGGCTGCAGGCGGCTGCAGACGGCTGCAGGCGGCTGCAGGCGGCTGGCTTCCTGTTTTCATGTCTTTGCTTCTGTTTACGGATCATTCTGGGAAAAGGTGCAGCGATATTCAGGTGTTGGACACTAAAGGAGCCACATAGACATTAAATCTTTCACACTTTAACCAATGGTGCTGCGATGTGGAGTCTTTCTGGTTTAATGGGCTCAACGACCCAAACCTGACTTTTTAATTTTTTTCCTCTTTATCCATTTTGAGGAGTTTATTTACAGCAGACCTTAAACATTGTTTGGGATCTTATGTGACAGACCAAGAAAAAGGACTAAATAACCTAAAACACGATTTATAAGCAGAGATTAGGAACATGTTTTACCATCCTGGGTGGGGAAATGTTCAGTGGATCTACCTCCCAGCCCACTCAGCTCCTCTAGTTCCACCCAGAACTGGAACCAGCAGCATCTATGCTCCACAGATCTGGAACAAACTCCCAGCAGACTGAAAGCCTGAGATCTTTGAAGTTAGAGTTAAAATCCCGTTAGTTTAGACTGATGGAGGTCAACTGGTAACTGAGGCTGTGGTCCAACTGGTTGATTAATTTTACTTCCTGCTTTTATTTAATAGTTTCATTCATTTAAAGGTAACAGATCTAATCTCCTTTCAGCTCTGAGTTTCCATGTTTATCGTGAGTTTCTGGAGGATCTAGTTACAAACAGCAGCAAAAAAGCCTTTTTCTGTCTCTGCAGATCTACACTGCATCGAACCCCAATGGGACGGCCACGGGGAAAACCTTCAAGGTTCACCTTCAGCTCTGGGACACAGCGGGACAGGAGAGGTGGGTTCTAAATGTTCCTGTTCTACGTTCTGACCTCAGACTGATAACGTCTGGATGGAGCTTCAGACGGACGGACGGACGGACGGACGGACGGGTTACATCTGCTGAAGTTCTAGATTCACTGCTGGTCCGATCCGGTTCTGCCAATGTGAGCTGGGGGTCCTGATAAGCGATAGGACCAGATCCTGGATACGAGCAGAGTAGCTGAGCTTCAACCATCATGCTGATGTCAGAGTGAACCGCCTCTTTTTAGAGGATCATCTGCGATCAGATGAAGAACCCAGGAGGTAGAAGATTCTGGATTAAATAGATCTGCTCCCAGAATGTTTGCAGTGATGGATGAGATACGAGCACAGCAGTGGAGGGGTGATGATGTGGGGCTTATTTTGGACCATTCAAAGTCAGGCTGCTGGGTCGCACTGCTGCCTTGCAGCAAGA